CGCCGAGGCCCCGCCCCCGCGTTCCCACCGCCGTACGGCGAGATGGCGACGCCCGCGCTTCCGCTGCGCCGCGCTTGGCTACCGCGGCTTCCCGTCGCCGTGTCGCGCAGTAGTCCGTCGGAGCGACACCACGGTCAGTCGGCGACCCGACTGGGAAGATGGACGCAGGTGAGGAGGGCGGGCGCCTACCCCATTGCGGGCGGGCTCCTGAGGCCGCCCGGTGGGGCGGAGGCCGGTGTGTTTAGCAGGGCGGACCGCGCCTCCCCGCAGCGCTCCGCACCCGGTTCTCGGGGTCACCCATCAAAGGCGCGGCCTCCGACGCCGCTGAGGCCCTCGGGGAGCGCCCCAGCCTGTGGAGTCCCGGCTCTGGGAGGGAGGGCAGCGAGCCTGAGGGACGATCAGGATGCGGACACTTTGGTGGTCGGGGAGGACCCGTGCGTCGCGGGGCTAGTCCATTCCTTGCCCGAGCGAGGAAGCCGAGGTCTTTAACTTCTGTCAAGTTGTTGGCTTATGTTCCAGCAGTCACAAGATGCACATCTTTTGTCTTTAAAGTTCGATAACCTGTGTAGGTGATCCCCACTTCTGTTTCTGCGGCTGGAGAGCGTGATTCAGTCGCATTCTACTTTGACTTCTTGGCGTCCTAATACCTGGTGAAGTGTGGGTGTTGTTTCTTAACTGGCTCTTGCCTCCAAAGCTCGAGAGAGAGTATGGGTCTTTGTTTTTCCTGGCAAGCTGGTCTTAGAGCTGTAAATCTACCAAATACGTCGTTTGCTAGTAGTCCTAAAAATATCCACGCCCTCCCCAACAATGGTTCTCTCTTTCATTCCCCCATCAGCATTAGAGTTTTCATTTGTTTAATTAATTTTTTTAAAGAATCGCTTTGCCTTCAAAAATCCACTCCTTTGTGAAGGAATCCTGCCACCTGGTTTAATTGGACCTGTCTTGAATGGCATTGCTTTTGATGATTTTCTTGACTGACAGCTGCACCAGAAACAAGGTTGGCTTTCTTGGGAGTGGTGCTTACCGTTAATCCGCATCTCAGTCGTTTGTGGCGTCTATCTTTTCAGCGTTTTAAATGGCTGGAGGAAGCAGAAACCTTCAGTCCCCAAGAAGCATGAACCAGGTGTAAATTTGGGAAGTTAATTTTTTTTTTAGACTGGATAACTGAAACTTCCATAATGCTTGCTGGAGGTATGGGGTGAATAAAACAATAGAGTTCTTTAGTTATCCCTCATCGCCCTCCACCTTTTTTTTTTTAAGACAGTGCCTCACCGTCTTAAACCGGTCTTGTCTGGTCTGGAACTCTTAGATATGTAGACCGTGCTGGCCCCAAACTCACAGAACTCTGCCTGCTTGTGCTTCCCCAGTGGTGTGATTAAAGATGAGCACCACCTCCATTCCACTTTCTTTGTAGATGTTTTTTAGATGTTAAGATGGAATTTGATAGTTGTATTACCTTTAATGTGAAAATGGTTCAAATTAAGCACGTTACTGTGTAGTCATTTGCGTGATGTTTTTCTGTCGGTTTATCAGCCACACGTGAGTCTATTGTTATTTTAATTATAGCCGGCAGCCGACACACATTTCTCCGCCCCTCCTCAAAGCCCACTGGCCTCTCAGGCCTCAGCCTGGCAGGGCTTTCAGTCGGGACAGCTGTATTAAGTCTTTATCCTTCTATTTATCAATAAGACTCAGGAGCTAAAGGCTGGGGTAAAAACCTGCTAGTTCAGAGCGTTGAGCTAACTTTGCTCGCTACAGACTTCTCATCCCTTGCCCCAGAACCAAGAGGAAGCTCAGACTCCAGTCCCTGCCCTTTCTTTCCTGGACATCTTCTCTGTCAAAATTGCTGGCTTCTCTATGGCCAATTCTGGTTGGCTAGGCGCTAGCTCTGCCTTCTGATTCAAGGTATAATGTTATTGGGCAGCCTCAGGAGTGTCAGAGTGCTATCAGAATATCCCACACCATATGGGACCTTAAGTGGGTATTGAATGCTGCTGACAGATCAAACTCAAAAAGACACTTGTGCTTGGAGACCTGTGTTAGTGCTGATAAAAACACAATTTTTTAAGGGTATGATAGGGCAGTTTTTCTCCTGATATAATGCTTGATGGCCTTTTATGGTCTACCCACTGATCCCTGGGGAGGGGAGGTCCTTGAAAATTCTGCCTTCTCCACCATTGTAATATGACTAGTTGTACTTTAATTGTGTGTTCTCTCTCTTCCTCCCTTCCTTCTCCCCCTCCTCTATCCCTTCCTCCCTCTTTGTCCTAATCCTGGCTGTCCTAGTATTCTCTGTAGACCAGGCTGGCGTGAGCTACCATGCTCCATCTTACTTGGTTATAAATTTCTTGAGTGTCAGGAATTGTACTCTAGACATTGGACTAAAAGTGGGCCATAAAGAAAAATGCTAACTTGAAGGAGCTGACATTCTCTGCAGGAGACCAGGAGTGTGTAGGATTGGATGGTGCTCATATGGGAGAGTGATGTGGGCCAACTTATAGAGGATTGGGATTTTAGCAGGATAGCCAAGAAAAATATCACTTTGAAAGTATATTTTTAATTTTTTGAGATTCATTCATTATTTTTCCCCTTCCCTCTCCTCGCTCCAAACCCCTTTACATTTATTCACCTCTTGCTCTCTGAAAGTGCATTCTATTTTTGGTTTTCCAGAAAGGGTTCCTCTGTGTTACAGCCCTAGCTATCCTAGAACTAGCTCTAGACCAGGCTGGCCTTGAACTCAAGTGACCTGCCTGCCTCTGCCTCCCCAGTGCTGAGATTAAAGGCACTCCACCCGGCCTGCGAGTGGAAGAGCACCAGGGAGGTGGTTGTGCCCAAGAACCTGAGAGTTAAGTGAGTTTGAGAACTGGAGAGGTGACTCAATGGTTAAGGAGCTAACTTGCTGCTCCTCTAGAAGACCCTAGTTCAGTTCCCAGTACCTATGTCAAGCAGCTCTTGTTTCTCTGGCCAAGGGGACCCAGTGCCTCTGACATCCTGAGGTAGCTACACTCACATTCAGACACACACCTACGCATAGTTTAGGTTTTTGTTTATTTTCTTTTTGGTTTTTGGAGACTGTTTTGTCTGTTTCTATGTAGCCCTCGCTGTCCCGGAACTAGCTCTGGTAGATCAGGCTGACCTCAAACTCAAGTGACCTGCCTACCTCTGCCTCTGGAGTGCTGGGATTAAATGCCTGCACCACCACTGCCTACTTTAGTTTTTCTTTTCTTCCTTTTTTTTTTTTAAATGCAAAGATGGAGAAAGATTATTTGGATTCAGTCATGGATCCTTACTAGGGCACAGTGAGGACTCAGGCATTTATTCTGAGTAGGATTCTTTGGAAGGTTTGAGAGGAGTATGTGAAATTTAACAGATTTGTTCTGGGATTTTTTTTAAAACATTTAATTTGTACTTATCTTTTAAAATTGAAATATATATGTGTGTTCCTAAGTATATGAATAAAACCTGCACAATCTCTATATTGTTCCTTGTATGTATATGAGTTTAGGATTGACTGTTTGATCCTGGATAACCAGTTGGGGAGGCTCTTCCAGGGAAGACTATTTCTCTGCTTTTGGCATTCCTTCATTAGCTGTAGTTGTCTACTACAAATTTTTTTGTTGTTGTTTTTCAAAATGTGTTTCTCTGTGTAGTCCTAGCTGTCCTGGAACTAGCTTTGTAGACCAGGCCAAACTCAGATCCACCTGCCTCTGCTGGGATTAAAGGTGTTTATCACCACTGCCTGGCTAGTTGTAGTTGTCTTTCTAGGATTGGGTCTCCATGAGATTTTCCCCTTTGTAGCAAGCTTTTTTCTTGTCCACCAGCTCACAAATAATGGCATGGAGACTTAATAATTATGAAAGCTTTACTTTTAGATTAGGCTTGCCTCAGCTACCTCTTATAACTTAAATTAACCCACTTACATTCATTTATGCTCTGTTATGTGGAATTACCTATCTTCCATCGTATACCTCCTGTTTCCTCTCCATGTCTTGCTGGTGACTGCCTTTCCTCTTCCCAGAGTTCTCTCTCTGCCCAGAAGTCCTGCCTGAACCTCCTGCTGAGCTATTTGGTCATTCAGCTTTTTATTATACCAATCTTATTAATACATCTTCACACAGTGTACAAATATTCCACAACATTTCCCTTTTTTCTAAATAAAAAGGAAGATTTAACTCTTAACACAATAAAACTATATACAACAAGAACGATTATCAGGTTAAGATACTCACATCCACAATGTCCAGTCCATCTGCATTGGCGAATTCAGAGAAACTATCATCTATCTCAGTGAGTCCAAAGTTCTGTACCTAATTAACTTTCTATCCTAACTTGTGTTACTAACCCAAAAGTATCTTTTAAGATTTCAAAACATTTTCTTCGATAAACTATTTAAGCTTTTATGTCTCTCAACCTTATACACGTTACACTTCTTTTGTGAGTTTCTTTTCAGAATCTGGTAACAAGGAAAACTGTAACTCTAACAATCAAGTCTTCAACCTATCAGAGACCCAAGAAGGATATAATATTACCTGAGTAAACAGGAAGTGTGGAGGAAACAACTTCCAAAACTATAGAAAAGACAGAAGCAGCTGGCTGCCTCAATGGTCACCCAAGGTTCCTCTGCAATATTGGGGTATCTGCCTTTGACCAATAGTCCTAGAATATCTGACAGACATTCTGTGAAGCAGGAATTTTTAAGGACTGGCCTACCCTATCTTGGCAAAGTTCTACAGTCTCTTTGATTTGTGGCCTACTTGTTCAGCTTGGACTACATTCTGTCAGCAGTTGAGACAAGGACAGTTTCTTGCCCAGTGGCCAATTTTGCCACAAGGAAAACAAACTCTATATAGAATTTCTTTGATGCCCATCATCCTTTTTTTTTTTTGAAGTAAATTGATGCTGCCAGAGCAAACATGAAAAGACTTATGTTATTAAAACATTTTAAATGTCATATTCCGTAGGTCTCTGAAGTGTTTGAAGACCATCTATCTAAAATATATCTTTGTTTAATCTGAAAACATACCTAACATGGCCACAAATTTGATTGTTATAGATGACTATCTAACCTACATTTCTTAATTATCTTAAACAGTTTGTAATAATAGCCTTTAAGGACTAGAACTTTGCATTACATTTTAAAATGAGCTACATGGTACAATACCTTAAAC